AGAATTATTTTTATTTAAGACAAAAATGGAACACAAAATTTAGTAATAGTTGTAAGAGGAGGAGAAGTAGTAGTAGTAGTAGTAATAATAATAATAATAATAATAATAATAATAATAATAATAATAATATATTATTATTATTATTATTATTATTATTATTATTAATAAAAGTAACAATATGACTAAAAATAAACTTAAATACTTGTACTAAATGTGCATGTGCAGAAATTTTAAATTACAACAATAACAACAACAACAACAACAATAATAATAATAATAATAACATTGTAATTTAAAATTTTTACACATGCACATTATAACAAGTATTGAAGTTTATTTTTAATCATATTGTTACTTTTATTAATTTTTAATTTATATCTTGACAATGATATATCTAAAATTAAAGTAATTAATTTGAAAAAAAAAATTCATACGCGTAATGCACGTGCTTAATTACTGGTATACATAAATATATGTATTCATATTTGACCAACTTGAGGAAATCAAATTACAGTGTAGGCTGTGCTTGAGTTGGGAAAATTGGGCTTAACTTCGGGCTCAGGTCTTATGCCCAAATTTTAGGGTCAAGCCTGGGTTGACCATAAACCCAACCCAACCTGCCTGGCTTGCACCCCAAATAAATAGTTTAATCTATAATAAATACTAAACAATAAATTATAACAAAAATACAATATGGACAATAAATTAAATCTAAAAAAGTTAAATAACAATAGTTTAATCTCCAATAATGGTTGAAAGTTTTCTATTAAATAACAAAAAATAAATAAATTTATACCTAAATATTGAAAATATATTTATCACAAAAACAAAAAATATTAATTTTTTAACATTAACTATAATTCTATACTCGCACAGAATGTTCAATTATCTAATGCTTCTTCCTAAAATATCTCCACCTTCCTAAAATACTCAAATCAAACTTACCATACAAGTATTGAATCTCAAACAAAATAATAGTTGCCCTGCACTTAGGATTTTGCCACGCCTACTACTCTATAGGTTAAAAAGAAGAAAAACACAAATTGTTAATTGCAAAGTAAAGTTGATTTAATTTTCTAAATTAAATAAGAAACCAAAATCAAATTTATCATATAAGCATAAGTTGTGAATCTCAAATGAAATAACAAATGATGTGGCCATTCCTCTAGATAAAATATGGTAAGTCTCTTAAATTAAATAAAAATCTATAAAAATGAAATAAAAAATTAAGTTAAAATTCTAATATAGATGATTTAATAAAAAAATGAAATAGTTCAGATTGTGGACCCGTACTTAGTATGAGGGTCATGCCTAGTATATACACTTAAGTAAAGTTGGCTAGCCTCTCCTTGCTCCATTACCCTAACCAAGCAATCCTAGAGTAGGTGCAAGATTCCCTTTAAAAGTCTATGGAGTTGCCATCTCAGCATTCCTTATCTCCCTTTTTCCTCTATTTTTCATTAGGAAGCTAATAAAACTCATATAATTAAACCTATTTTTTAAGAAAGATATAAGGGTCCTTTATAAAGCCAATCCTTACCCCAATTTGTTCCTATCCCCCACTAATCACGTGGCACCACCATCCCCCACTTTCTCTTAGATTATCTCTATAGTCTCTAACTCCTAATTATCTCATAAATTATCTCTAATTTATGAGAGAGTTTCTCTCCTAAGTTATCTCTAATTCCTATTTATCCTCCCCCCCCACATTTCATCTATATCTATCTAAATAAAGGTTGAATTAAAAATTTAACAATTATTTAAATATTATAATAAAATTATGTAATAACTTGAAAATATTTATTAAAAATAGAAAAAATAACTATAATAGATTTAATAGTATACACGTTATTAATAATTTTATATTTTTTTATGAAATTATGTAATAACAATATAAGTTATAATTTTATTGATTATTCAATTTAAAAACTATAAGAGAAGGCAATTTAATAACTCAAGCAAGAATATGGACCAGTAATGAAGTTCAGCCTCCACAATAAGAAAACACACACACAAAGAGAGAGAGAGAAAGAGAGAGAGAGAGAGAGAGAGAGAACTGCTTGTTTGATGGAGAGGGAGAATCAATTTCTATCTTTGACATAATGCTACAGTACCCATATATGCCTGCAGCTATATCCCTACTTATAAAAGGAAAAGAATTCAATTTTTTTTCTTTGGTAGAACAGACATTCATCAAGCAAGAAAAAGGCAAAAGCTATACAAGCAGAGAAAAACCAACAAGAACAAACATAACAAATGAAAAGAAAAACAAACACACAATGAAAAGCTACAACAGCAGAACAGATCACCCCGAGAAAACAAGCCAATCTTCCAACAGAGCGTGGGCTAACCAGTGAGGACCAGCATCTATCCATGACTTAAAAGCCAGAAGACCTGTCTGAGCTGCAACATGGGTAGACCTATTTGTTGAGCACTTCACAAAGGAAAAAGAAGCAGGACAATCTTCACTCTTCTTGACAAGCCAACTTACTAAAGACTTTCTATCACTTTTGATGATTACATTCTGGAGCTGCAAATCTCTCACAAAAGACAAACCTTCAAAGATTGCTAAAGCCTCCACCTGAAGAGAAGAAAGCTGAAACTTTCCCACACTTGAAGGCTACAAAACAGCCAGTTCTATCCCAAATGGCCACACAAAAAGTTGCTGAATTGCAGTTCAAAAAAGCCCCATCCACATGAACTTTGAACCAACCATCCTGCAGGGGAAACCGAAAAACAGAACTAGTCCCATCCTCAGAATGGGGCTGTGCTTGTGATGATATAGCTGCAATCTTCTGAAGCTCTCATACCTGGATCATGACCCTATCAATAACAGAGGCTTGGTTAGACAAAACACCATTAAAAACATTATCATTGCACTGCAACAAAAAATTCCTAAGTGTCAGAGCTGTGCAGGGTTTCAGCTCTTCTTTCCTATCCTTCTGATCATTACAAACTGAGAACAAGCCAAGAAGCCAATCCTTGAAAGAAGAACCAGGAGGAAATGCTTGAAAACCTAAGCCAAGGGGGCCACCAAACCTACAGTGTTTTGCAAATTCACACAAACAAAGGGCATGTAACACTGATTCCTCTTTTTTCAGGCATACAGGATTGCTGGGATCATTCAATACAAGTTCAAGGCTAAATACCACACTATAGCTCCATTTTTCTGTCTGTGGCTAGACCCCAATTTTCTTGTAGGCTCTGTTTGGTTTGAAAGAAAAGGTAGGGAAAGAAAGGGAAACCAATACAAACCTTGTATACTTAGCCTGATCAACTAGATCAGAGCGCCTAGCAGAAAAAACTAGATCAGAGCATGCCCTTTACATCATTACATGTCTCTAAAATTGTAGCCTTTGGGGGATGTTTGGCATTTTTAGCATTGCGAGAATTCGGATATGGTTCCAACACACGGCCCTAACAGCCATTGTGGCCATACATCATTCATCGCTGTTGAGACTGGATCTGGACTCACATTGTGAGGCCATTTATGGGCCACACCAATGCCACTTAGGCGGTGCCATTGTGTTTGGTAACTGTTGATTCAAGAAAACACCCCACCTTGTAAATCATATAAAATGCAACAAGGTAAAACATCTCTCAACAGTGCAAAGTGTTTTTTGGAGTGACATGGCACTGATGTGTCATCTGGTGTGGCATATGGAGGGTTTAGTGTTGGGTTTAGAGGTAACCAGACAATCAATTCACCGCCATTCCAGTCACCAGCAGTTGATTCAATGTCGGGTTTTGACTTCTAACACATTTGTTCTCCTTTTTGCAGGATTAATCACCACACCACCTTCGAGTCAACATTTCCAATGTCGGTTTGTGCCATGAATGCCAATGTGCACCTTTTTTTTATGAATAATGCCAATGTGCACCTTGGTGGATGAGGTTTGAAGCTGTTATAATTTTCAGATTACAAAAATGGATAACTCATCTTAAGAAGGCTAAAACCCAACAAAACCCCAGCCACTGTCACTTGTTCTCTGCTATTCTCTCTCTCGAAGATGTCAACAAATGATTGCTATGAAAGCTACTATGATACATTACCCGAAGACAGCATTTGGTCAAAGAACCAGAATGTGTTGCCAAATCCGATGGTGAGGATGCGAACCCTCATTCACTATCTGATAGAGGAATAAAGGATAGTCCTTGTGTCAGGATGCTACAACGCCCTGTCTGCTCTCATCATTCAAAAGATCAGGTTCAGCATCAGTTTTATCGTCGGCTACACCACCTCTGCTTCTCACCTTGGCAAACCCAACTTCAGCTTGCTAAGGCTCAGTTTGGAAGAAGTACAAATACAAATATGTACAGTGCAAATACATACAAAATAATACAAAAATATAAGGTTTTGCACTGTGCATATTTGTATTTGTACTCCTTCCAAACTGAGCCTAAGGTACGTCACTGTGCTCTCTGCACTTTTGTTCTTCCTTCTCCCTCTTGACGATAGTCTACCATAAAAAACAAACAGTCAAGTAATTGACTATTATAATGTTTCATGTTAAGGAGGAGTGATAGACAATATGATTAACCCTTTCATTGGCTAAGGCATCTGCCACTGGTTCAGGTCTTCAACGCCTTGAGTAACCACCCATATCATAATTTGATAAAACACCAGCGAGACCACCAGTCTACCAGTTCATGTTGAACCATAAGACAATCAGAATGCTATTAGATATAAAATAACAGCTCATCCTGCAAGGACAATTCCTTCTATAAGTCCGTATAATAAGTTACAACAATTACAGCCTCTAGCCCTTGTGGCTATCTTTGAATACATATGAATCCTTCATTACCAGCTCTGGATTGAAAAATCAATCAAGCAATTGCATTTGAACTTTTCATTATTGAACTTAACTTTTGGAGGTCGAAAAATTTATTGCACAAATGGCAATTAAAGATGAAAAGTCTCTTTCAATACAAAAAGTGAGTAGATTAAGCATACTATTACTGCTCTTCAGGCTCTACAACCCTCCTTGTCTTCAAGGCAGTCAAGGTTTCACAGTATGAAGGCTACCCACAAGTGAAGAATATACAGTGTCATCAGGCTTCAGGCCTGCTTCAATCATTTCATCATATAATCTAAATGCCTCATCTGATCTCCCTTCCTTGGAAAAGCCTGAAATTATTGCAGTATAAGTGACAGCATTGTGTTGCAAACCTCTCTTGGGCATTTCATGGAACAATTCCCATGCTTCATCCACCTTTCTAACCATACAATTTCCATGAATAAGAGTAGTATACGTATATATATCTGCTGCTATGCCATTCATTTCCATTTCATCTCTTAGCTTGTAAGCTTCCTTCAAATTCCCTTTTCTGCAATATCCATATATCAGAGCATTGTACGTAGCGGCATTAGGCTTCACTCCCTTCTTCTCCATCTCATGAAACACTCTCTTTGCTCCTAGTAAATCCCCTTCTTTGCAATATGCGTCAATCAATGTAGTGAAACTGAGTTTGTTAGGAGTAACATCCCTTTCTTCCATGGTGATCAGCAGCCTCTTTGCCTCATTGGTCCGTTTTGCCTTACACAACCCACTTGCAATTGTATTGTACGTAAATACATCAAGCTTAAGGCCTTTCTTCTCCATCACAACTTGCAATTTTAGGGCTTCATCTACCAATCCCTCCCTGCAATATCCATTCATTAATGAGTTGAATATCACCTCGTTTACATTGATTCCTTTGCTTTGCATCTCATCGACCAACATCTGTGCTGCTTCCAAGTTCCCAACCTTGCAGAGGCCATTGATTATAGACCCATAAGTGTGGGCGTTTGGACTGAGACCTCTCTCAGTCAATTCATCAAACAAGATGAAGGCCCTTTTCATGTCCCCGGCTCTACAGTGTCCATTTATAAGTGCAGTATAGACATAGATATCCGCTATTATACCTTTCTGATGCATCTCCTGAAACAGCCTCTCGGCTTCTCCAACCTTTCCACAGCTCGAGAACCTGTCAATCAAAATAGTGTAGGTCAAAATATTGTAGGCTACACCTTTCTGTTCCATCAAATTCCGGACCTTGGTAGCTTCCTCAAATGCCCCTTGCTTTAAATAGGTACCCATCAGGCAATTGTAAGTAGCAACATTGGGTTTGATCCCTCTACCAGCCATTTCATCCATCAAACCCTTGGCAGTTTCTATTTCTCCTATCTTACATAGGCCGTCAACCACTATTGTCATCGAACGGACAGAAACTTCAACACCCGCTTCGAGCATCTTCCGTAAGAAACGAAAAGCTGATTTCACCTGATTGGACCTCTTGAGTGCGAGTAAATAAATAATGCACGATCTCTCATCAATCTTGAATCCATTGTTTTTCATGTACTCGAAGGTCTCCAGAGCCTCCCCAAACTTGCGATTATCAGAATAAACCCTAAAGAGCATATCAACTAACTTAGCACGAATCCAGGAACCGTCACATACATTCTCCAGCAAAGAAGCTGTAACTGTCGCAGTGCATTTGATATCTTCATTAATCACAACAGAATTAAGGAGATGTTTGGCCAAAGCAAATCTTCTGTCCTTGAATAACCTGTAAATTAGAGTTAGATAGGCCGAAATGTCGTGTTGGTATGGGGAGGTAGATCCTTTCCACTGCAGAAAATTGAAGAAATCTAAGTACGATTTGGTTCTGAGGAGTGGGTTTGAGAGAACAAGTTGTATTACTTCGGGATTAAGTAGGTGGAGGAGATATGTGGAAGGGAGAGATTTGCAGCCCAATGTGATTAGGGTTTCAGAGATCTTTTCTGCAACATCTTGATTAGATTTGGAAGAAGAGGTTGAAGGTTTAACTGTTTGAAGGGTGCTGACCAGTTTCTTCTGTCGGTTTTGAATCGGCATTTGGTGGGGAAAGCGGAGCGAGTTGAAGTTTGGACTTGGGAGGCAAATTCTCAGAACGCACGGTGGTTTTGTTGGTTGCGAATAGACCTGTTCATGGGCCGGGCCGAGCCGGGCTTTTTGCTCTTTATTAACATAAAATTTTCAGGCCCGAGCCCGAGCCCGAGCCCGGCCCGACCAACGGGTTTAAAACTCGGGCCTGAGCCCGGCCCTCATAAAAAGCCCGAAGCCCGACCTGGGAGTCTGAGTGCCGGTGCCCTCTGAGGATTGAGAGAACGGCGCCTGCTGAGTTCGCCGATTCCTGGGAGTTTGAGAGTGAGAATAGAAACTGAGAAAGTGAGAAGATAGAAAATGACAACAGTGCCGGGCAGAGAGAGAGTGAGAGAAAGAGAACTCACCGCTCGAGAGAGAGAGAGAGACAATCTAGATCTGGAGGCGCCGGCCGCCGGTGCCTGAGTTCGCATAATGAAAACGGTGCGCCTAGGTTCTGGAGGCGCCAGTTGGAGAGAGAACTGAGAAGATAGAAGACCTAGTTCTAGGAAGAGAGAGAACTGAGAATGAGAAAAAAGATGAAAACGGTGCTGGCTGGAGAGAGAGAGATCACCGCTGAAGAGAGAGATGACTACTTCTGGTGGCATCGACCACCAGTGACTGAGTTCGCAGGTGCAACTGGGTTCGCCGGTTCAGAGAGTTGAGAGGGAGAAATGAGAGCCGCTTCTAAGAGTGAGAATGAGAAAGGAGAAAGATAAGAAAATTTTTTAAGTATTTAGGGTTAGGGTTAGGTAGTTTAGGAAAAGTCAGGCCAGGATAGGCTTTTTCAACAAATCCCGAGCCCGACCCATAAAACAGTCAGTCTCAGGCTTTTAGGCCTGAGGTCAAGCTCGCGGTTTAAAACGCATGCTCAAACCCATTCGGGGGCTGGGTCGGGCCGGGCTGGCCCATCGGGCTACCCGGCCCATGAACATGTCTAGTTGCGAGTGTCTATGACTATGAGTGGGTTTAAGTGGTAAACCCCCGCTAATCACAAGATAAGGCTCTAATCGCTCCTTTTGTCTTCTCGAGTTCGCCTCTGCTCCCCACCAAGCGCGCCTCACTCGGTCTTTGCAGCGCATTCCCGCCGTGCTTTGAGAACATCTCCGTACGTGATGTTCTCAATACACGCTTACGATGCACCGTGAAGATGGTATAAGGCGCGTTCTGTAAGGAGCAGATCCGATCTATGTCTTTTCGGTCTTCAGCCGATGTCAGCGAGACTTTAAACGTAGCGGTTTTGATTTTGAACTCGGCTTCAGTAAGGAGGGTCAGAGATATACTTAAAGTGGTTGTAAGTACGGCGTGAGCATCGTTCAGCGAGCCGCGTCGAAGGAGTTACTGGAAATAGTATCAAACTTTCAGTGATCAGTGAAGCCGTATCATAGATTTTCCCAACTTTCATACAAAAGCAACTTTCTTTACTCATATGAAAGTCTATTTAAAGTTTGGAGAATTCTATTAAATTATCCATATAATTTAGGAAAAGGACTAATTGCATCCTTATAGTTTAAATATTCTCTTAAAATATTCTTAAGTTTTTTTACAACTAATTAATTCCTCTCAAGGGTTTAAATTTTGATATGATACGTCCAATCTTATTTTTAAAAATCCATACAAGATAAGGTGGAAAATTGGTGGCATCATCTTTTTTCTACTATATTGGGATATATTGAATAGTATTGACCAATACATTATGAAAAAGATATAGTCGAAAATAATAAGCCTTCTTTCACCCCTCCCCCCGAATGACTCTAAAACTCCAAACCCCATTCCTAGAGTGCTAAATGTGCAATAATTTGCAAGAAACAAGTGTGAGTAGTAATTTTTTAAGGTTTTTCAAAATTTGAAAAAGTAGGGCAAAAATATGTAAGTTTTTTTCAATTTTTTATAATATCTTGTGGTTTCTATTTTTTTCCAAATGTTCAAGTCTATGTTGACCTACATTTTTTACATTCAAAATCTCTTTTTTTTGGTGTTATGAGTAGATATATGGAAATTTCATGAAGATTTTTGGGGAAAATATAACTTAACAAAAAATTTGAAAATGTAATTTTTTTTTCTTTGCCTATAAAGACCTAATATGATTTAGATCTATGGGTTTATCTATCATATCCATAAAGCAATTGAAATTTCTTCTTTAATATATATTTTTTATTTTTTATATTTTTAGAATTAAAAAACAAATAATAATTAATTATATTTTATCAATTGATCAAAACGATTGAATATATTATGATTCTATGGATGATCTATCATATCCATAGAGAAATTGGAATTTTTCTTTAATAATTAGTTTTTATATTTTTATATTTTTATATTTTTAAAATTAAAAATAATTAATAATTAATTATGTTTTATCTTTTGATCACAATGATTGAATATATTATAATTCAATGCATGATCTATCATATCCATAAAGCATTGAAATTTCTACTTTAATAACGATTTTTAATATATTGTATATAATGTATATATATATATATATTATAATTTTTAAAATAAAAAATAAATGATAGTTATTTAAACAATAAATAATTATTAATTATATATTTACTTAGAAGTTATGCCAATGCATGTTTTATGGTTAGATAGGAGAGTTGTGTTTTTACCATCCCATAAAACATAAGAATTTTAATTTATAAATTATAGTTAAGCATAGGTTTTGCAATGAAATTATAATTAACTATAGTGTATTTCTTCATAAAACCATTAAAATATTAATTTATTGTATATATACCTCATTGAGGTCTTATATTTAGTGTCGTTGATGTGTTTTTATGATCTATTGAAGTATATATACTGTTTCCATGTGTATCAATGTGTGTCCTAATTTTTCTCTGCTACGCATGCGTATCTAATTGGTAGATGTCACCGATTCTACAAAAATGAGGTGAGAGTTTCAAAAGGTGTCGACACAAAGATGCATACTTTCGCCATGCTTCTTCATCCCTAGGAAGTTAGTGCCTTGGAAAAACAACTGGTTGGAGGTAGAGGGTCTAAACGATTGCTCTCGATTACAACTGGCCAAGATCTTGGTAGGAGAAGGTGTTCCTTGAGGTCCGCCATTAATGGAGAGCTTTACGAAGTGAGAAATGGAAATCGTCACTGGTGAAATTCATTGTTTTTTACATTGTGCGAAATGGAAACAATCGTTGGTAAAGTTGCCATCATGAAGAAAGAAGACAAAAATAAAATAAATAAAAATACAAAACTAAAAAATGCATTGTTTTAGCTAGAAACCATCCCAGGTAGAGTTGTCGACATCGGAGAAGGAAGACTTTAATCTTTAACTCGGGAAGTGAATTGGCGCTTGGATTTGGGTTACAAGAAACAATTTGTCATTTGAGAAATGATAGGAGGGCATTTAGGACATTTTATCAGCTCTGAATTGCCTCTGAATGCATTAAGTAGCTAGGCAACCTCTTATGGTTTCAGATCTGAAAGTGGCATTCAGATCCACCTTTAAGACATGATCCCAAACATCAATTACCTCTAAAAAGCAAGTTTTTCAGAGATAAGAGGTGGATTCAGCGTTATCAAACGCCGCCTTATATTGCTAAAATTATCTAAAATCTAAAACTAGGATTGTGTGGCATACATCAGGTTCTGCTAATTTCTTGGTCAAAGTTTTGTGGTGTAGCTTAGTGGTATGTCTATATTTTAATATATAATTTACACTAAATGTTCAAGCTTATGATAATGCTAAAATTTTTCTTAACATTGCAATTATGTTATAATAGGAACACAAAGGATCCATTTGGTTCATAGATAGAATTAAAATCAAAATCCCATGGAAATGGAATTGCAATGGCAAGAGTTTTAAAACCGACCTAGACAATGAATAGGTCAGGGGTCTAGTACTCGGGTCGAACGGTCGTCCCGTTTTAGCAAATAAAAATAAAAATTTAAAAAAAATAAAAAATGGTCAAAATCGTTAAGTGGTTCAAACAATTCAACCGCACGACTCAGCAGTTTGCTAACCAAATCAACGTTTTTTTGGCAAAAATCCAGTATTGGGGAAAAACGGAAACGATCACCTGACTGGTTCCCAGTTTTTCTAGTCCGACCATCCGATTTGGTCCGGTTTTGAAAACCATGTGCAATGGTCTATTCCTAATGTCGGTTTAGTATAGACAAGAATTGGAATCAGAATGGAAATGAGATTCCGATTGTACCCAACCTAACAATTGAAATAGGAATGGGTGTTATTTATTGGTTTTGTGTTCCCCTTCTATGCTTGTTAGCCTTTATCATACAGTAAACCTTGTCAAATAAACAACCCAAGGCATGAAGCAAGACTTTATACAAAGGCCTCATGGCACATAATCTAGTTAGATTAATAGATACATGATGTAGATCAAGGTTCAAACTATCGGAAACGTCAAGTGTATCAGAAAGATAATTTTAAGAGACATATTGGGATACGCCTTAGATACACTAAATATACAACCTCAATGAGATTGATATACATTAAATTAATATATTTTAATGGTTTATGAAGAAATATATTGTAGTTAATTATAATTTTATTAAAAATCCTATGCTTAACTATAATTTATAAATTATAACTCTTAACTTTTAATGTTTTATGTGATGGGAAAAAGCCAACTCTCCTATCCAACCGTAAAACATGCATTGGTACAACTTCTAAGTGAAAATATAATTAATAATTATTTATTATTTGTTTCCAAATATTATAAAAAATAAACAAACATTACATATATATTCAAAAAATAGTTATTAAAGAAGAAATTTCAATTGCCTTGTGGATATGAAACATCATCCATAGAATTATAATATATTCAATCATTACGATCAAATGATAGAATATATTTAATTACTTATTTATTTTTTAATTCTAAAAATATAAAAATAAAAAAATATTATTAAAGAAGATATTTCCATTGGTCTATGGATATGATAGACCATCCATAAAATTATAATATATTCAATTGTTGTGATCAAATGAT